TAAACGAAATAGTATTTGCATACCATACCAAACATACGGAACATAGCATAAATAAGATAACAGTACATACACATTTATAAAACATAACATAAACTTCAAGCTAAGCACTGTTGTTTTAACATAAAAATTACAGTAACAGAAAGGATTTGTATGTATAACTAACTCTTACAATTATAACACAAGAACAAAACATTTTAACATACAAATATATTTATATTTATTAATATACATAATAAATAATATGTATTAAAAATTAAATAAAATAATTTTCAAATTAAAACGAAGGATACCACTGTAATGTTTAAAAAGGAAATACATAATATAAAATCAATTTGTAGTACAATTAAAAAGCGAAATTAAAAAAAAATACTAAATAATGAGAATGCAAATAAATTAAATAAAAACAAAAATTTATTTTAAAATGAGAGAGTAAAATTTCTTAGTTAAAACAAAATATAAAAAATAATAAAAGAAAAAAAAACATATTAAAATGTAAATTTAAATTTAAAGGCTGTAATTTTAAGTTTAACAAAATATTGAAATTAAACCCAAAACAAACAAATAAAATACTAATATTAAAAATTTAATAAAAACATATTTCACCCACACTAAGATATATAAGAATATTTAAAACTTAACTTAATACATAATTTTAACCATAAATATTAATTAAAAAAATAAATATATTACTATATAGATTATATATACACATAAAATAATTAAACAGAACTCTATATGTATGTATTATTATATAAAGATAAATAAAATAATTTAAAATAATGAAAATACATTAAAATTATAATATAAAAAAAAAATATATGAATGAAATGAATAAAATGTTTTTCTTTTCCATTCCATTTTTGTTTACTTACTATTCAAAATCTTCCACCTAATGATTGCGACGGTCAGCATATATATGGTATACCTATTTAGAATGCAATGCTAAGATTAGATAATTTTTCCAGACAGTGGAAAAGTACAGAAGAAATAACATAATGATATTAAAACGAAATAAACCAGAAAATAGCTTGCCATAATGCCGCTTAACTATCAACATTCTCCAGGGTGCTTTGAGATGATTAAGTTTTTTAATTAATTAATTAATTAATTTTTGACAGTTTTAATTAATTTTGACAGTTTTAATTAATTTTGACAGTTCAGTAATCAGAAATTTACTGGAAAGGGAATTTCAGACATTTTTAGTAATAATGATAATCTATATATATAAATACAGTGCTTCGATCAAGTCAACTGAAGTTTCTCCAGCACTATCTCTTTGTCAATATTCCTTGGTATTAAATGAATTGCAATTCTACTAAACTATTCATTTGGATTCGTGAATTGGTGGGCTATGAAGTATTTCAGCAATATCACCCAAAAGTTACGATAATAATAGACACATTTATGCAGAGACAATATTGCGTTGTGGCATTTCTTGACGTCCACTTAAAATATTCTCCATAAGACTTAAAACTACTTTCTGTAGCTATTATTTGATTTTTAAATCCAAGTGCAGTAATTGATACTTTAACGTACAGTCAGTTGCTGGTGGTCCAATAGCCGTTAGCATTTTCAAATCGATGAGCTTTAAAGGTTGTGTTGTTCTGAGATCATATCACATCATATGATGTGGTTGTGCACCCATTCTCAATAACTCAATGGGAGGTTGTACACCATAAGTTTTTTTTAAAGGTATTGATACATCATCTACAAATATTACATACTTTTTATTTAATGGTGGACCATAAACGTCTTTTCGACGTTTATCCAATTTGGACATTATAATATTTTAAGTTTGAGTGGCATTATTAGTTTATTCTATCAATGCAAGGATATGTGCTGGTTCCGGTGCTCTATGTGTTATTCACTTTGGACATATATGCGTATAATAAAGTAAAAGTTATAACTGATAAAACTGTAATCGAAGAATTGTCAAATCGTTTTTAAGTGAAAGATAAAGGATAACTGCAATTATAGAATGTTCATATTTATCAGTATTGATAAATCAGGAAGGATCTGCAATTTTTATATTTTCCCGGATTGTTTATGAGAAGTATGAGACTATCATGTCTTCTAGCTGAAGATTAATTAATTTTTAAGAACACATTTATAGTGTTGACTCCATGTCTATTAATAAGGTTCCTAATTTTCCTTCCGGAATATAAGAGTTTAGCTAAATTACACAAATTTAAAGGAATTTTTATACATATATAATAACATTTATGACTGATATGAATTTGATTTAGTGGACAAATAAAGTTATATGATATAATAATATTATATAATAATATAATAATTTTTTAATTATAACAAATAAAGTTGTAATTAAAAAATTTTTAATAAATATTACAAATTTTTTGAAGAGGTGTCTAATTGCGGCCTCTGTACAGCTTGAGATTAAATTTAGCATTTTTTAGTGATTAGCGATTGTTGAATTAATTAATAATTGGCAATACTTTAAAATTGATTCTCATAATCTAACTTAAATAAGAATCAGTGATTCATATAGGCTTAGAATTTTCCGAGATATTCGAAATAAAATGACCCAAATTAATGAATTATTTGCCACCCACTACAATGTTAAGGACTGTAATGTGATTATTTTAAGTGTGAATATTTTTTCATACGATGACGACTGACGATGATGACTGATAATAGACTGGTAGTTCAATTTAATTTTTATGGTTTTTTATTCTTTTGTCGTATGAGAATCTTATCTCTACGACGGCGATGAGAACAAAAACAAAGGTTGGATCGAACACATATGTTCGTTTTGTTTTTGTTATGTTCGTACAAGTGTAAAGCGCTACATATGAATGGGTGTTAAGATCGGAAGCACGAAGATTCGAGCACGAGTTCAACACATGGCATAGAAAAGAGAACACCTAAACAACATTGATTATGTATCTTTTCCGTATAAAACAAACTTTTGTTCCATGACAATATTCTGCAATTGAGTTGCGATTACTTCTAAAGTCTTCAACTAAACCTCAAGACTAAAGAGTTTTTATCGAATGTATTACTATTAATATGGTAAGTAATTTATGGAATATTATCGATATATATATTCCATATATATTTTTGATATAATAATAGAATCAAATTTATGGAATAAATTATATACGGAAATCGTAAGAGTATTAATTTAAGATATTTCGAACTTAAACTTTTTAAACCAAAAATTTCTTTCGACCTTAATCTTTATTTGTTTTATTTTTATATCGCCTTAAAGGTCGTTGAATTTTAAAATTAATAAGAAATTTTTCACACATAATAATCGCATGACCTTAATAGTGGTAAGATTATTAAAATGATGCCAAGGTTACGATTTTAAACTGCAGTGTAAAACTTTCTAATAAACAAATTTAAAATATAATTATCAATAGATAAGAACTGATATTTGTCGTCTTATTTCAAATGTGAAATAAATAAATTAACATATTGAAGGGAATAAGTTAATTGAAGGTTATAGTCGATGCGATAGCCATAAACCATATAGTTTAAATGAACCAATATTTGGTATTCGCGAACAGATACGTAAATCCTGACCTCTTGGAATATGCAGATCACTTAAAAGCAATTTCTAAAGAATTTATATATTTAAAAATATAAAACAAATTAATTTGTTTAACAATATGATTTGTTAACTTAATATAAGTCTTATTTTTAATACTTTCCTACTGTTACGTTAAAAACAAAAATGGACTTTGAATAAGCAAATGCTTAGACACAAAAAATAAAGAATAACTGAAAAGATTATAAGCTGAGATATATTTTGAAAGATATATTTTGCTACCTATCTACAGCACTAACCATGAAGATATTGTGAATTCCTCAACTTAATATTAAATTAAATGATGTAAAATTAAAATGATGTACATTTTTAACTAATTAAAATAAAGTTCATATAATTTGATCAAGACATGTCTTTATTTATAAAAGACAAAATATCTTCCCTTCCCTTTGAGTTTTTTATAAAACTCCTATAAATATCCTTTTGTTTGTATATGGAATAAATCATTTGCATTGCATTTAAATTCGCAGAACTCTGTTGCAAATTACAACAATCTATGTTGTATTTGAATAAAGATAGCATAGAGCACTTGAACTAGCACGAGCGGAGCAAGCAATCTACAATCTACACCATTCTAAGTATGAGAACATCAAGAGTCATGTTGATGTTCGATATTGTAAAGACTTACGATATAGTCTGACAAACTGAATTAAATGTTGAAATTTAATTTATCCCACTTTTACTAATAAAAGTGATTGATAGTTGTCGGCAAAGTTAAAATAGTTTCACAAAGATTTCCGAAGGTCCTGCATTATGCCCAAATCGAGAAAAAATGAAAACAACACCACAAAAATAAACTAAGAAACTAAAAATAAACAAGAATAACTTAGGATAACACAGTAAAGTACCAATGCCTGACAATGGGCAAGATATTCATATGGACTTATATGTTCCATAACGATAGAGAAAGTATTGCCTACAAATAAAATATATTTTACTCTCTAGTATTCTGCAAAACACCGAATATTAAAAACAGTGCATTGATTTACAAATAAATTATAGAACCAAATTTTTTCGGATCTGTTGTGTTGAGTAAGTTGCAAATTCAACTGCAGTCATACGTCGACTATTCAAAAAACCATGCTACATTGGAACTCTTCGAGAACAAATGTAAACATAATAACGTAGCACCCAGTTTATTAAAAATATAATAAACCTTTTAATCACATCACATATCCTAGTTGAGATATCTGATCATTCAAAGAAATTACGATGTGTTCACACAATTCAAGTAATATGAAATTAAAATAAATATTTTAAAAGTAATAAATAAATAATTTTTTTATTTTATATTTATACGTATATTATATGTAGGAGCTATCCGATTCTGAGTTTCGAATAGTTTAGTAGAATATTTGTTTTTTAATTTTTGTGATTCTTAGCTTCCACTGCTTCCTTTATGGTCGCCTCCATTCAATGCAAGCAGTTAGTTTAGTTGAGTGAAGCTCTTATCGATTTAGCCATTATCTTAAGAGTTTGAACACTTTATGGACTTATTGGACTAGATTCTGTTTCCTTGTGATGTCGTGATTGTGATTACTTCTATTGTGGTTTAAAGGTGTGATTAAAATTCTGGAATCGTATACTTGGTGGAAGTTGTTGTGATTTGTCGAATTCGCAAGTCTTATTGTATTTCAACATTTTGCCGTTTGTTGCCGATGATGTGCGCCAGTACACTGTTTGCATAGCATTCCGACCAGCGATATAGCGGGTCGTGGCACCAACCAAAGAGTTGACATTGCTTACAGCAGACATTGTTTTATTATTTATCACAGTACCGTTCTATTGAAGTAAGTATAATCCCTTGTATTACTTAATTTCTTGTAAATCAGTTTTCTCTACGTCAATACGTTACACGTTCACTGAACAGTTCACCTATTTCTGTACAAACTCAAACGAATTGTATTCTTTTTATACCGATGAGCCCGATGAGCCCGATAGTTCGGTGATTTACAATTTCTTCGGCTCTGATTCGTGCCCATGCTGCCTTTTGATTCGGGCTAACACGCCTAACGAAAGTGTTAGATTGTCTTGCTTTAGCTACGACTGGTGATCGCTGCGACTGCTGATAAGAAACGTCTGCTGCTTCTCATCAAATTTTGAGCTTTGAGTTTTCAGTGCAGTGGGCACCCGTCTTTATTCAAGAATATATCAAATGGCAATATGATTTCAATGAATTAATAATATTTATATTACATTATATTTTTTCTTTCTAATAAATAATGTAAGTACGTGTTTAGTTTGCGTATTTTTTGAAATCTTGACTTTCTTACGCAAATGTGAAAAAAAAGAAATATTTGTCTTAATGCGAATACACTATTAAAAATATCTGTCACAACAAAAATATTTATTTAAATTTACGCAAGGATGAAAACAAAGGGTATGAAAGTGACTCGATTCGTGGAAATTGAACTTTATACGTCAATTCTTATTATTAGTTATTTATGTCATAGAAAAATAAGTGATTTGTCTTTATTAGTTTATCGAGATATAATGTAAATGAATCAGATTTAGCACACACTATATATGTATTACATCTGGTAGCGGGTATTATATTTATAATGACAGATACAGGTGATTGTTGTTTGTTCTACATGTTTTTCTATCTACTATTTTTCTGCATACTAAATCGTACAACCGTTTAAACTCCGGAAAAAATTTGACCTGTTGAATGCTTGTTAACGGGACTTTGTAACTTATATAATAGTTAGTGACAATTCATTTTGGACATCTAAAGAAAATAAAATAGAATGATTAATGTTTTTTTTTGCTTATCAGCTGATCACCATCGTTGAATAAAAGAATAAAATAAATAAGGAATTGATTTAATAAAATAGGAGAGGTTATAGGTTTAGAGACCATTAAGAGAAGCACATATCTCTAGTTTCTTCAACTAGGTAACAATTATATGTTTAAGTGCCTTACAACATGCAGAACATCCCTGTTGGCCAGACTTTCGTATAAAAGATCTGAACCTGGGAGCTTATTACAAAAACGTGTCAATACTACTAGATCAACTGTAGTTGTCTTGGATTGCTGGTGTTCAGGAACATACGCATAGATACTGAGATACTGAGCATGTTTTGCCTAGAACAAAATATTTGTCCACCTATATGTTAAAACGTCCTCAACATTATTCAAAGAAGCCATTAAGTCAGACATTGAATTTGGTTTTATTAATAAATATGAAACGGTCCTACTTGCTCCTATTGTAGCCAATATATCTGCTAACTGCTATTGAACATACAAATAGAAATTAAGAAAAAAATGCTAGCAAACTGCGTAGAAAAAAATAATAAAAAATTTTAATGAATATCAATATAATTAATTATTCATTAAATTGTTTAAGTCAGAGATTGGGTGTGTTATGAATTGCCGGTTCACTTTACCTATGCATGCAGAGAGTGCTTAAAAATATTCATTGATATGAACAGCAGTTAAAGTGTCAGCTAACTCTACCAAAAAGAAAATAAAAATGTGCTGCTGGATTGCACCATAAAAACGGATTGCACCATAAAAAATAAGAAGAAATGTTCATACATATTCTCTGCTTAAACATTTTCAGTCTGTAAATATGCCTAATGAGCCTAGTAATTTTTAAATTCTCTGTGTATTATACTTCATATCAATTTTAAGGCAAATCAAGCTCTGGTATCTTCTTCAAGACCCAATAAAAATAATTGTTTAAAAAAATTTTATTATATATATGTGACGTCAATTATAAACCATTGAGATATTTCGAAAATATTTTTTGTTTTCCAATCATATTTTCCCATAAAGTCGCCTATTTATCTCGTGTTTAATGGACTTTGGACAAAGTACTATAATCTAAGTATTGATTTCCAAAACGCAAATACAAAGTCTAAGTAGAAATTAATGACGTCATTATGAAAAGCACAATACTTTTCATTAGTTTTCATTAAAAAAAATTTATATTGGAATAAATGTAGATATATGGTATACATGGAGATTTCAGAAATGATTTTCAGGTGTATAAGAACATTACTTCTAGTGGTCGAAGTCATTACAAGTTCAAGAGCAACAATTTCAGATGATATGGTACGAATAAAAGTGAGCTCATGTCAATGCATAATGTGGAGGAACCGTGCTTATCAGCGGTAATACAAAACAAAGTGCCGATCGACCTCTTTCACCCTTTCAGCTTATGACTTCGTACGACAGTTCACGGAGCGTAGTAGTGTAATTGATTCGTTACTCACTTGTGTTTTTGTGTTATTGTATCTGAAATATAAACAATTTTGTTGATAGGTTCAATACCAAAACAAATTGTTTATTAGTTTATGTTTTAAATGAAATTTATGATGGATTTTGTTTTTGTTTTTATTACTGAAGAAATAATCGAATTATTTTATAATATTTACATTGGCACACTTTATTGTTAACACTTTCATGGAGAACTTAGTGATCTTATCAGGCGTTTGCAAGTGGCTTGAAGACATTCAAGAAGTTTATGAGTGTTTTTGTTTTCGGTGGTTAGATAGGCGGATTTTGTAATATTTTTGAGAACGAATGTTCACATTTTGTGTTGCTAAGCTCATTTTTCAAAATCAGCGAAATTTGAAAATATTTATAAAATAATTTAAGTATTATGATATATACTCTGCTATGTTATTTTTTAAATTAGTATTAATATATTAATATATATACTTATTTATATAATAAGGTATATATTAATATATTTAATTCTAACTTAATCCATTTGAACATTCAATATTCCACTTTGTCTTTAGATATTCAAATTTTATACGTATGGTACTTCAACATATTAGCTTCGATACCAAGTATTGAATTATATGTGTATAAGTTTAATCGACAAAAAAAAACTCCTTTGTGGCTATCGGCTTTTAAATCAATTTATTTATGTAGCCCCCTCAGTGTTTGGTACTAACAGTACCTTGTCTAATAGGTTTGCATACTGCTCAGATAGGAACTTCTTTCAATGACTGTTCAAAAAGTTGTAAATCAGGGAAAAGGAAAAGAAACTAGATTTATATAACGACCGAATGGAAGCTCCTTTCAATGACTGTTATAGTTCTCTTACCACACGGCACTTGCCTTGCCAATGGGCATCTATCTACTATAATTCTCAATTTAAGTATTTTCTTTAAAAATATTGCTCACTAGATCAAAACTACATTTAATATGGTTTCCTAGATCCATAACGCTTAAATTCAGTTTTTAAGCTACTATATGTTATCACAATAGGTTCACTTTATGGGAGAACTTTCTCAGTGTGTACTAAAATATTTTTGTTGAGAATCGCTACGTCAAACAACCTTAAAACTTTGATCTATTTGATTTTTAACTTGATTTGTTGATGAATTCCAATATACCATTCCATCAAAAAAGAACGAGAAGTTAAAAAAACGCAAAATTTTAATTTTTAATCATTTTCTTTATTATCGTCTTCAAAGTACTCTCCTCCTGCGGCAATACATGCATGCCAACGCTTGATCCGATTTTCCATTCAAGTTTTATAGGCCGCCGAAGATATGGCCTTTAGTTCACGCAACGAATTCTCTTTTATGACCTCTATGGTCTCAAAACGCGTCTATGGTTCTCGTAATGGCAATTTGAGTCGGGGGCGAGGGAAGAGGAAAAAGTCACACGGGGCCATATTTGGAGAGTACGGTGCTCGGTGCTTGGTTAATGATATTGGTGGAGTTTTTGACCAAAAACTGTGACACAACCAACGCTGTGTGAGCCGGTGCGTTATCGTGGTGTAAAATCCATGAGTTTTCCTTTTACGACGCATAACAGCCAAATAAAACTCTTTTTTTGACCGTTTGGCCGTTTGACCGTCCGGAAGAAATTCATAGTGCACCACACCACGAATATCGAAGAAACCTGATGCGTTAGATGAATGTGGGGTCACTATCTGCGTTGGAAATCATCTCTTTGGCCACATCACAACGACGCTTTTTTTGAATGAAATTCAGCTAAAAATTGCCACACGAAAATTTTTCGACTTCTTTGTATAGACGCCAAACAAAAAGTAATCGTACGATATGCGTTAAACTTCGACAGAATGTGCATAATAGTGTTGCCAACATGAAAATAAAAAAATTTACCGATTGGATAAGCGCGGGAACTCAAAAAAAGAACTAAGTTCTTTTTTGATCACAAGGTATTACACTGGAACACGCACGTGAATACGATGCGAATGGCAAGCAAATGAGTGAATGAGTTTTGTATTCGTGAGTGAATGCTTGAATGTAGTAAGAAATGTTCAGTTATTTCTGTAAAATATATATTTTTTTGATTTTGTTTCAGCAGTTGATCATGTTCATGTATAAATTTTAGATTGCAAATACATGAATAGAATGAATGCATTCACAAACAAATATTACGAAAATCAAATGGTTTTTAAGTTAAAGCATTAATAAGGTCACTTACCCACAAATTCAAATAGGTTAATCTTGGGAAAAAGATAAAGAACTTTTTATGGTCAGCAATGGAATAATATTCCGTCAAGTAAAATTTTGGTATTTAGAATTTAAATAGCCTATCAGTGTATGTTCATTATCACCACACCACTAGTTGGCTGTTTGAATGGCACATCAACCAGTAAATTCTGCCCATGCTTCGCAGCTGTCGATCTATATATTTACTATATCTTATAATTTTATCGACAAGAATCACTGTAGTGGCTATTTCTAAAAAAAATATTTTAAAATTCTTTTTAAATTGTTATGTGTTTTCTCTTTCATTGTTAAGGACTGTCATTAGTGTTCATATATGTAAAATAAAATTAAAAAAAACCAATCTATTAAGCATCACGACTTTTATTAACCAAATAACTTTTAAGTGAGAAATGACTGCATTCCACAATACGTAGTCATTACCCACCCCCGTATCTAGTCATTTCAAATATTCTGACAAAGTATTGCAATTAATGAATCTTATTTGAACTCTAATCATTGTAGTAATTTGCTCTCATGACATCTTAAGTCATTTTGATCCACTTATTACGTTAATGCTTTAATTAAATGTACGAGTAATTTAATTAGTCTCAACGCCTACAGACGAGGCGTAGATTTGGTTTGTCTAGCATATATCGTAGAGGAAGTGCTCTTATGGTAAGCACTTAATTGGTTTAAATTAGCCAACTTGAACAAACAACAGAATGCTTAAATTATCTAAATTATATACCAAATACAAATTGAATCTAATTCATTATTTATTTTAAATTTAATGTTTTTATTCAAAACCTTCAGTTCCATATCCAGATCATATCCTACCTTTATATATAAACATTTCAGAATACATTTTATTTTATTATAATAATTATGATATTATCACCATCATTGATAAGGTCATTGAACAGCACCTTCTGCATTTTTGGATGTTGAGCTTTCGTTTCCATTCGTCACAACGTCAAACTTCGCATCTCTCAACAATTTATACATGACTTCACTGCATCTTGGTCAATTACGTCCATCCATCTTAATTTTGAGCTACCTCTGTTTCGGCCTCTGTTTCAGGCTTATTAAACCAACCGAAAACGTTTTTGGCTAGAAAATCGAAAGGATCTTATTACATTTCTTGTCCATCTTAGGTGCTTTTTGCTTTATTGTTGTGAACACATGGGGATATCCATGCCATAATTCTAGTTTATGGTTATAGCATTGTTCGCTGCTTCCAATATTTTATAAAATGTGAGCACATTATTTAAAAATATTACATTAAGTATTCATTATCACCGCGCCTTATAGAGATATTTTTGTGCTTCTATCAAGAAAATCGTACTTAAATTACATTTGTAATTTTACTATACGTATTATGGAGATTATTATCCGGTACATTTTTCGAGATGTATTTCTTTCTGTAATAATATTAACATCAAAGTGCTAGAAATATTCAAATACCGCGAAATTGCATTCTTCAATATTTACGATTAGCCTCATAGAAAATATGAGATGCTCTAGCGAATGTCCTTAAATTTCATAACTTTGCATGGAAGGATATCGAAGGGTCATTGGTATCTTTTTACCTATCAACTGTTTATATTTGTGTTCGCAAATGAACAATTAAGTTAGCTTATTGGCTATTGCTGATTAAAGACCTTTCGGCACTTAAAAAAACAAAAAATAATAATACCAAACTATTTACTATTTATCAAAAAAAAATTTTTATTTGTAATATTTTGGCCAGTCCAATTCAATATAGTGCGATAGACGAGTATTTAACAATAGGTAGTAAATAAGTTGAAGTAGTATGTACTTGGGATTTGGTATGAGAGATATTTAAATTTTAATTTAGTAGTATTAAAGTCTTACATAGTTTCCTAATTAATTAATACATGAGCAAAATATAAACATTTAAAAGTACTTCCAGAGTGCAAAAACAGCACCACATATTAATACTAAAACACTCGACACATTTTTGGCAACATGGGCTGCTGCAGAATCGCAGACCTTTCTTACGGTGTCAGTATTCAGGCCTCGTCTTGATAACAAATTGCGTATGCTTCTTAATTCCTGCAAGTAAATAAGTAAATGATGAGAAGTAAAATATGTATGAAATATCATATTAATCTACCTCTTCACTTAGACTTTGAGGTGTACGACTTAGCACAATCGTGTATATGGAACTTCTCAGATCGTTGCCGCAAAATGTTAAAACCAACTGATTACTAACGGCCTTAACTACTTGCACCGTGCCTGAAAACTGTGTGTACTTATTCATCGCCATGAGGGAACCACGTTGTTCTCCAACGTTCAACCACTGTCCTGGATTCAAATCAGTATAATTGAAAGTGTACTCCAAATCGTCAATGCCCTCGCTCCAAACCAAGCGCAAGTAGTTCGTGGTCGATATTTCGTGTTCATATTGTTGCTGATAATATTGATTTGTTGCTCCTCTTGTCGCCACGGACGACGAACCGCTTGAACGCCGATTATTGTAGTTCTTTGAATAATCACGCATATGAGCTCTCATCTTCAATTAAACACGAAGTAACACAAATTAAGATATTTTTTTTTATGTTCACAAATATAGAATTTATTGTAAATGAAATATCGAACTCACTTGTTGAGTGACATCGGCCAAGTGTATCAGCACACAACTCTCGTAGTGAAACACGCCCGGGACGCCTTGTGTGTGCATAATAATTTCATTGCCGTACCATAAACCTAAAATCTGTGAAGTACAATTACAAACGTAGATAAAGATACAAAAGTATTATCGTAAATATGTGCTAATGAGCGATAATCACTCTTCATTTGCGCCTTCTATTGTAATCTTCATTAAATTGAATTTAAATTGAGTGAAATTGAATTCTGATTAATGATGAATTCCGTACATTTTCTAGTCAATGTCGAGGCAAATAACTAAATATGTAACTACTAGTAATTATATGTAAATTATGTAATTATAATCCATAGAATCTACTGGGTAAAAAGTATTCGATTACAAGCTGTTTCAAAGTGGAAGATGAAAGTTAAACCTCGAAAATTTCACTCAGGCGAGAAAATAATAATGTCAATGAGTTAATCCCTTAGCAATACAACAATTCCGCAACGAGAATCTAAGATACAGTTTAAATTATATCTAAAGCTATATCTGGACAGTGGGTTGAGTTGGATAACTGATGTAAGGATCGAGTAATTGAAGCTCGATCTTAAATCTAGAAAAATATAGTGGGTACTTTGTCCAAAATTACCAATTAAATTTATAGAATAAAATTCTGTAATTTTGGAGTTGACACCTGTAGTTATATCTAGACAATATGCTCATTCACATGATTTTATACAGAGAAAAATATAGTGAAGTTTATACAACCAAATTCTGCTGCAAATAGTCATGGTAAAACGGGTTAAGCAGCACGTTCTGCAGCACTAGACACTGCAAGTACCTTCAACATATAAAAATTGGGAAGATAACAATCTAAAATGATTAGAAAAGATGTCAAAACTTCAAACTATTCACAAAATTTTATCATGGGTACATCTCAGTGTCAGTGCCAAGAACACAATTTATATATAATATTATAGAGAAATATAAAATAAAAACAAAAAAAAACTTTTAAATTAAAAATATATATTAATCTAAATAACTACCTGATGCTATTAACAGAGTCTCGTATAAACATAAATTAATAATAAAACCTACACGACGTTACGATGATGATCTTCTTAGCAAAGTTGACTAACTGATTTACTAACATTCATACTTCGGTATATGTGTACTCATACTTGCACTCATACATGTCAACAAGAGCAATATTACTAAAAAGCAAAAGAAAAAATACCGGTACTGAATGAAAGTGGAGAATCATATAGGAAGTAATGCTAATTTCGGTACATGTATTTTGGCCACAACTACCGCAGTTGAGAGCTGTTGATATGTCACTATATTCCTTGAAGAGCCAATAACTTTAGAAGTAGATATTTATATAATTTCACAAGACATACAATAACCTACATACATACATATAATAAATAAAAGACCCTCTTTTCCAACTATGTTGTGAATGATATAATAACAAAAAAAAATAGTCATAAAAAAAAACAGATTTTCGATTTTCGTAAACATCTTTATCAGGTCTTAGCTAACATATGTTACATATGAAAAAAAATCGAATTCTCTCAATGCATTAAGTGAATTTCGTATTTAGATTAACTTGTTTCTTCAGCGATTAGTTAAAGGATGCATTTGCATCTAATGAGAACATAATTTAGCGGAAGGTAAAAGGAGTCCATACTCCTTTCTTGGTCTCTACTCAAAGTAGAACAATTACAAAGTAGCTTAGTAACCCAATATTCGCACATTGGTCCCATTCTCAATCAATACATAACAATATGAAGGAATCGATAGGGACTATACGCACCAACCCTCCACAGTCAGATAGACTCCTAACCGACTTATGTGATTCAACAATTAATTAGCAGATTCCAAATATAAAAACCACTTCTATTTCAGTACGTTTTCCATGCTAAAGAGTATAGTTGAAATGGTGAATCATTTTCAATGCAATGGTGAATGAATGCAAAGCAAACAGCATATTGCGACCACACATTTTCACTAATCAATGAGTTAAGTGACTGAACTTTGACTTGCCCACATTACGAATATTCGAAGAAGAAGTCTAACAACGCTTAATTAAATTAAATGAATAGCCTGATCTCCCCAAGCCAAGCGAGCATCCAAGTCATTATTTAAGGTCAAAAGCTATCGAAGACTGTATGCATTCTAGAAAAAATTATTTTGAATTGGGCCGAAACTGCATTATATATCTTTTGTGAAATATTCATTTAACGTAGGCAAATGTAGTTAAACAATAACGGTGAATTTCAAATAATGAAATTCTGATTAATCCACAAAAATAAAAAAGATAAAAGTGAGAATTATTTGAAATACATCATGAAATCGTTGAGAAGCGGGAACTGCTCACCTCTTCCATGTCCAGCGTTGTCTGAGGTCTCATGTCAATGCAGAGCATCGAATTGCTATTTTGTTCTGTATATACATCCTCCGACGAAGCCGTCGTAAAGGTGTGATACTTGTTGTCAATACTATTGCCGTTCAGACTCCGAATGCTGAAAGTCAGGATGCATAATGCAGACCCAAACAGAAAATATTGCATTTTGCTTATCTGTAAGTTTGTCGTAGTTCGTTTATTTTTCACCAAATTAATTCCGAATGATTATTTAATTTTCAGAATTTATTACCGCACGCAATCCCAAATGAACCGTTCAATTTAAAACCGTGAACTACATTGAAACGTCGCTCTACATGAAAATTCTAAATTTTAGTTAGGCTCAAGACATTCGCGTGAACTGCAGAGCTATTGGCGATCATGCGGCTGAGCATCGTCGTAAATCGCTCAAATTCAATTTTGTTTTCAATTGTGCTACTTTCATTTCTCTGCCTGCCTCTCTTTCGTTTGTTATTGTACTATAATTGTATTTACTACAGTACATAATTGGTACTGCTGAAGCTGACATTCACGAGGAGAAGAGGAGGGTTTCAACTTGCAAACATCGTTAAACCCACCAATAAAATGAAATGTGGGGGTGTAAATGTATTTTAATTATGGGTTGTTGAGAGCGCGATCCATCGTAACTTTTTTCCATTTTCATTTCCATTTCGATTTCATTAATTAATTTAATCTTTATGCTTCTATATTTTACAGAGATGTTGAGCTCAGTTTTGGTGACAAACATCGTCTTTAGCCTTACAGTAGAGCATTTTAAGAATTTTTACTAACATCCAATGTAATAAAGCATAGAGTTAAAACAAAAAGATCTGTTTGATATTGCATAAATGCCTATAATAAGTATCAAATTCCATCGACTGCCATTCGTGCTAGAATACATCTATGATTCACACACAAATTTTTTGAGATATTTTATCTTCATTGTTTTGTAAATAGAAACCAATCATAAGTACAGCTTATGTGGTTTCTTTCATTAAAACACTTAAAATAAAATTACAATTATTTAAATACTTTTCCTAAATCATACTTAAATTCTACCTGGAAGTTCTAAAACCTGAAACCTCTTCAATCTTTTTGCAGTTTTTGCAGTTTTTGCAGTATATAAAGGTCCTATGGAATGAACTCTTAATATAGTTTTGGTTTTTAGTTTTTCAAAACTTAAGAACAAAAACTTCATTTGATAATCTCCAAGCTTTCTGTCAACTGTGTTTGTATAATACATTATGATATAAAAAATTATATTGAATGCTTTTTACACTCGAATTGCTAAAACGCTCCAAGCAGATTCGATATATACGTACGCATTTGAGCCCTACTTACAAACTCCAAACCTACAAACATTTTTTAATTTATTGCAGTTCTTTTTATCGTGATTTCCTTTTGATTCTTTTATCTCTCTTAATAGTGTGTGGCGTCAGAATCTACTAAGTATCTATATGCAAGCGCTGTCACCTTTGCACCTTTGAGACAGTTTTAGCTCCTAAGCAAAACTTTCAAGTTTAAAAAGAAAAATTATCACTAAACGTCAGATGTGGTAAGTAAAGGCGGTGGTCAATTATTGTATTCATTCAGTATTGTAAAATATGTTAGTATTATTTTGCGACCTTTTTCAATGTAATTAATTACCAACATGCTCTTAACGTCCCGAAAAGCAGTAGCCTTGGTCTACCCGATTTCTGAGAAGCTACTTTATCTTTTTTAACCCACTGTTGTCCGAAGTAGTAGGTTAGATCTATTTTCTATCAATAATGATTAACCTTCGCAAAAACTCAATTTTTTTTCCTTAAACACGTTTGATCTCAGCTTTTATAATGTTGAACTTTTATAATGTTGAATATGATTTGGATTTAATTTGGAATGCTGTATTACATTCATAAAAGAATCACACTTTTCTGCAAAAACTACAGAGGGAACTACTGTATAGTTTTATTGTTTGATGTATGATGTATGTATGATGTAGTTTGATGTATTCAGTCTTTAGAGTAAGGAGCGGAGTTTGACGCAGTATCAGAAAAACACATTACTAAAAACGAAACACATTTAGAGTAATATCAAATCCAAGAAGTCAGTCATCACTCGGTTTTTTCTAAAAAAAACCTAAAAACCTAAAACAAAAACAATTTGCTTTGTTTTGGTTATTTTGAGAGGAACCTCTTGGCATTCACCTCCTTATCTGTTTCAATCACGACTTGAGAAAATTGCTTTTATTTTTATTACTTCGAAGACGGATAATTCACAACCAACAATTCAACCAAAAAAATCCTTCTGGTTTTTTTTTTTTGCAGTAAGTGAAAGCATCGAAAGCCACCGTGTGAGACTGGAACCCACTAAATCATCTCTAAGGAATGGATGTGGAAGATTGGAGCTGCATTCAGCGAATGCAACCCCCATATCAATAAACGAAAGTAGAAGGAAAGCCAAATCCGTCTGGTTCTTTTTTTTTAATTTTTTAGATATGTACAATACTTACAAATAAAATAATACAAAAACAAGTATACGTTCTGTAAGTTAGTCAGGACAAGAACCTTTTTTGCGTTAAAGTCGATTTTCAACCATACAGTCCACATATATCGAAAGTCTCATCGTAGATCGTAAAGTTGTACGGTATTTCCGTAATACTATATACCGTAAAATGAAATGGTGTGATAATTAGAATTATTTGAGATCTTTAAAGATAATTAACTTATAACACAAACAAATAATACACAGATTGCGAGCGCAGAACAAAAAAACTACTGCCTTTGATTTCATGCCACATATATTTGTATAAATTAGTATAAAATTTAATCAAAAATCAAATTTATAATAATTTGGAAAAAGTTAAGCATTGCATGCACAGAAAGTCAATTATATATTTTAGAAAAAATGTATACAAAAAGCAAAAACTATTTCTTTGAATTTGTGTGTCCATTCAACACTAAACAATGCATCTTCCTGTTTAACTACTATTGAACGCTCTTACCTCTCTATTTCCTCTTAACATAAAAGAAACAAAATTTTGTAAATATAGAAACAAAATATAGAAAAATATATACAAACAAAATTGTACTTCACTGATTGCCCTTTCGTCTTGATGCAGCAAAACTGTCGAAGCATAAGTTCGCAAAACAGAAAATTGTCAACATATAAATCACACAAGCAATATGAAATACACACAAACTAGCAATTTGAATAGAAAATATAGCAACAATTTCTATACTATATCACACACCTTCTCATATGCACATTCAACAGCTTTTTCGTGTGTTTCGAACACTTAAGATCATTGTGTTATACACAGCTTCCGTTTGTCTTAATTGTTCTACAATTTAAAGCTGATTGTGCTTTTAGCTGGCTACTCGAGCTGGCTACCATAAAATCAAAGGGGTCCATTTTTTTTGTTCTGCACTCGCAATCTGTATATTATTTGTCTGTGCTTATAATAATCCTATTATCTTTGAAAATAATTTAGGAACTATAATACAACTAATAACACAACAATAACTTATATGTTGCAGTAAAAACGATATTTAAATCGATATAAAAATAAATTTTAACAAAGTGGAAAACGCTTCTTCCAAAGGAAATTTATTTTCAAATTTTATTTGAAATATTATATTTTACATTTAATATTATCACATTTTTAAAAGTTTAAAACATTAGTTTAAGCATTTAACAATAATAAACACTTTTTTTCATAAAAATAAACTGGTAGATGTTGCACTAAGGATGGGGTGCCATTACTAAGCTAAAATTCATAAAAAACCTTTTAGAATATCGAACATCTTCTTGATTCACCAGCTTCGTCCTTTTGTGACTATTTTTAGTTTTCAGATTTAAAAGTTCCGATCGAAGACTAAAAATTCGGTATAAATAAAGAGCTGAACTCAGCCGTCGTTGAATATTTTGAATACCGTTGCGCTACGCACTATCTACAATGGCTAAATAAATTGGGGATTCGATTATTCGCCATAAAATCATATTTTTATACTGACTATACAGTTTTTTTTTAATTTATTTGCTACTCCATTTTATAATGTACTTAAATTATGAAAAGTTGACGGAGAACCATTTCTCCCACATATGTACCATATATTTATAACATTAATGTAAGTACGGAGAAATGGTTCTCCGTGAACTTTTGAACCTATTGTGTCATCGCTGGAATATTTTCGAAACTACCGTAGAAAAATTATTAGAGCTAATGATAAATTTAGCAATATTCCTTCATTTAGTACGTTATACTCCATTTTTTTTAATTAAAGCCAGATAGTGATAGTTTCCTAACAATCGTAGGACTCATCTAGATAACTGGACCGGGGTTTTTTGAAGTTTATTGTTGGAGCTTTTAAACAGCAAATAGTAGTATCTGCTTCTTACTATAATTATTTAGCAGTTGACGTTAAATTGTGTGAGCAGTTTTTGTCCACCTTTTTAAGATAGCAATAACTCCGATATTTATTTAAATAATTGTCTCTCAGCTAATTATATATCAGTCCACTGAAATAAACATCATGATGAAATTTGGTAACAGTCTCCCTTTTTTTTTGTTAAATAGTAGAATTAAATATATAGCCTATATGTCTATATGGCAAGTCTTTAGTATTTTTAGAGTCTATGTTAATTCTATCGATTCGTCTAGTAAACTTACTGCAAGCAGGATTACTTACATTCTTTATGGACTTTTTTAATCTTTTCTCAATATCATATCATATATATATAATTTCCTACTATTATCATCGTTACACATTTTGTATTTGAAAAATAATTCTCTGCACCAAGTATGGTTGAGAATCCTTCAGACATCAACTAAATCAAAATTTTGGTATCTTTTTGCCGAAATAATCAAAATTATTTAAATAATCAAATTAAAATGAAAGAAAAGAAATGAACTCACTTTAAATTTGTTTTGTTTTTTTATTTTATTTTTATTTTTTATATTTTTTTTATGTTTTATTTTTAATAATTAATTCTTTTGTAAACTTAAGACTTAAATTAAAAATATTTGTGTTTTTTAAATGGTTTTTCTTAGTTTTTTCTTTTACATAAATGTCAGGATGTTTCACATTTAAATTGGTATTTGAATAAGTTTCTCCTTCTTAATATTTTATATTTAATTTAAAGTTTAATAAATTGTTATTAAATAGTTTTTAATTTTTTTTGTTGGTGGTTGTTGCTGTTGTTGTAGTAGAAATGATGGTGATATTCAGTATACGAGGAAGGCGTAGTTTCGTATTTTCCTTACAACGACATGAAGAACGATTGGTCATGAACGCACTCCCGCAAAAATAACTCCCCTTAAACTAAACAAAGTAGTTAGTCTTTGAAATGCAGAGAATCATGCCTGCCGCCGCAATGCCAATCATTGTTATCTTAATTAAAAAAAAATAAATAAACGCCTAAAAGGTAATAGCAGCTGTTGTTAATGCCGCTGTTTAAAGCTCTACATGTTTGTGAGCGATTTACATGCTTTTCTCAAGCTTAATCAATTCGGTGATGCCATCGTACATTTCCTTAACAGCATCGAATTCGGTCAGACCCATACGACGTTTGTTTGAAATATCATAGACACCACCTTCAGCTTCAGTGTGTTCACCTCGGGTGCCGCGAACTTGCAAGTTGTATTTGCCAGCGACTTCTTCCAATTTAGCCTTGTTGGCAGCGAGTTTTGGCACCTTGATGTGCACGGAGGCACGGATGGTGGTACCCAAGTTGGTTGGGCAGAAGGTCAAGAAGCCCAAACGATCGTCATGACTGAATGGAACACGCTTCTCAATTTCATTGACAGCGCAGGTTAGACGTCTGAAAACTTCACCCAAATCACCGCCCATTTGCATGGAAATGATACGTAAGTGATCTTCTTCATTGCACCAGACTAAGAAAGTCTTGTTGTCATTGTGGTAGATACCACGACCGGAGGGCCAGTAACGGCAGGCGTTGGCAGCTTGCAAGAAACGATCACCTTCCTTGAACAAGAAGTGATCATCGATTAATTGCTGTTGAACGGCTTTCTCCATGCCAGTCAATGGATAGAATTTACCCTTCAATTCACCTTCCAAACCAGACAAAGTAGAAGAGACTTTTTCTTCCATCTCTTTGTATTGGGCTTCAGTCAAGCATGGGTTGAATGGATAACCTTGCATGGAGCGACCACAACGAACACGTGTTGAGATGACAAATTCATTGTTGGGATCCAAGTTGCCGAAGCAATTGACATCACCAAAGTTCTTTGGTGGATGCTTATCGGTCTTCTTGAAACCACCATGGTAGTCTTCAATGATTGGATCGAACAAATCAGCGAATACGGTGTAAGCTTCAGCATCGGGAGCATAGATACCAACACCAGAGTCGTGATTTTCTAAACCAGATTGGATACAATCCAACAAGGTTGAGCCGAAAGTTGGAGTCTTCTTATTCTTCAAGTTGTCGAAAACTTCCTTGGTCAAGTACTTCTTCAACAAAGACTTGGAGTCAGAGGCAGCCAATTTGGCAAAACCCTCTTCCAACTTAGTAAGAACAGCAGCATCAACCATGGTGTCTTGATTTCTGTAAAAAAATAAAAAAAATATAATTGTAAATTTTTATAATTATAAAAAAACGTATTGTTAAAAAAATGAAGCGAAATTATGAATATACACAAAGCATCCACAGATGTGATGGCTTTATTTACTCGCAAGTTTTTTTTAATCGAACCAGAGTCAGCCGTATGGACGTTTCCCATAAATATGAATACTTTTTATGATTTTTCGTTGCAAGTCGCAAGGATTTTAGTATGAATAACATTTTTTGCTGACAAATTGAGAACGCGCGTTTTTTAAATTCAATTCAATTTTTTATTTGTTTATTTATTTATTTATTTATTTTTTTGAAATCTGATACAAAGATAAATATTTCAAATTAAAATGTTAATAAAAAAGAATTATAGAACAATGCAATATACTGGCTATACTGGCTATACTGGGTATGATGAAATTTCTGTTAAGTTGGATTTAAGTGCTTTTTTATTGTTCTGAGTGGCCATTTATGATTCTGTCTATTCGAGTAACAGACCTTATATATCAACGAAAAAGGCCCGACCGCACTTGGAAAAGGTGAAGAGACGACTGATTGGTAACATGCAGCATGTAAAATAAACTGTCTCGTTGCATTTTGACACCATGTCCTCCAATGTACAGACATAAATAAATAATTGCTGAAAATACAGACAGGCAGCAAACAGACAGACAGACGTGGAAGCAGTCAGACAAGCTGTTAGGGAGTATGCAGTAACATGAGTAGAGTAAAATTCGCACGAAGATTTTCCCGAAATAGTTATGCGCAATAAAAGCGGGGAAACACATATATACACACACACAAACACACACACTAAAGCCATGCAAAGATACAAAAACTGAGTGTTGCAGTACTACTACAATGAAATGAAGAATATATATTGCATTTGAGGCCAGCCAACCTATTGCTTATGGGGGTGGCATTGAAGCAATTAAGGACAATTTATTATACATGTATGTATGTATAATGATAAATATGTAAGATTTGCAATCTTAAGCTTTGAGTGAACAATAGCAGGCATGTTGATGTAACACGTGGCGGAGTACCGTTCTTCCGAACGCTGAAACTGCAACAGGAGTGGTGCATGGTATATATCGTTGGAGACGAATCGATCCGGGAAGTACACCCGGAATATAAAAATTGTAATGATTTGTTTTAGATGTGAGTGCTAATGACGCGGTACATAGGAGTTTTTGTTTGGTGTTTGAGGCATAATAAAAATGCTGCAAACCGTGAAATGAAAACTAAAAACAGTTAAGCTAGACATATTTAATTATATTTATATATTAATGAATCCCCTTTTCTCAAATTCTATCAATTTGATATGTTCATCTTTTGAAACCAATGAACTCGTCAGTTCAACACGGAACTACAATAATTGCTACCATTTGACTATTTGACCTACCCATTTTTGCCGGCTACAACTGATTTTGTACATTTGCTTAACGTGCAAAAGTGCAGGGGAGGAGAATGAAATATTTGACCGTGCATTACATCTATGGTATAGAGTAGTCTACAGCAGAGAGGCGGCAAATGGAGCTGAATTGTAGAGCGATTCCAAGAGAGTCACTTTTAGTATTTTTCACGAGTGAACATTTCTTTTAAGCGCGGTACGAGAAAAAAATAAAATAAAAATTAATGCGGACCTTCTTCAGAAAGAAAAAATAGTCAGTAAGCAATAGCAAATTAAACAAACTTTTTCAAAAGCTTATTTGAGGACAAGTGAATTCAAACAGGACTGTTGCTTTTGCCGGCTGTGATAGACAAGTTTAAGGCATGGCATGACATGACACGACAAGGTAATTAAGAAAATAACAAATTGTAGCAACCTAGGCTGCTGGACGGTTGACCCATGTGGAAGCCTTTTACGAGTCGATGGCATGCAATCGATTATGCTGATAATAAAAGACGAAAACAGTACAAAACTTGAGCACTGATTAAAATAACTGATGTAAGACATTTCCCAAAGTTATGAGTAACATGAAAAAGCTTCGTAATTATAGAGGAGGAATTAGCTTGAATGTTCAATTTCGTTTACCGCGCGTACATATAAAATATATTTTTTGTGCTTTGTCTGCAAAATGTAAGTAATCCATGTTCTGCACATGAACCGGATACAGAGGAAATCAGCATAGAGAGTGACGGTATACATAAGTACGACCAGAGTGAGTGCGCCTGTTTGTGTATTATTTTTACTGTCCTACCCTACTTTGTTAGCCCTACCCTGTACCAAGTAACAAAAACCTGACTTCACCTTTTACTACTACACTAGGACCTCTAACTCTGAATATGTGGAATTGCCGTTTTCTTTTTAATTTTTAGTTTTCTAATTTTTGGATTCTATTTATCAATTGTTTCAATTTAACATTGTTGTTTGGTTCCTGAAGTACGTTACTGTGATGACACAAGAACTTAAACTTAGAAATTTGGAAGGAAGTAATGCTGAAAAGGCTCAGTGGGTTCTGTTTTCTTGAGCTTATACACACCCTTCGCTGTTACCAGCAGCACCAGCATCACCGTTAGCTGCATTCGCACCCGCCTCTGTGTTAGTTGCTGCAGTGCCGTCAGCAGCAGCGGCGGCATCACCGTCTACGACTTTATCCTTCTTATCCTTGGATGCACAACCACCCATTTTATTAGTAGTTTCAGTTATTAAATTGAGTAAAAATTTGTAGTAAAAAAGATTTTAATTTGAGTTTTTTCTTATGAAAAAATTTGGCGATTTGGTCACAAAGTTTAAACTTTTTATATTTAATTATATTAAATTTATAAAAATGTAAATGTTTAAGTTCAAGTCTGTGAGTTTATACTTTAGTATGCAGTTTTTAAAGGTAAAAATATGTAAACGTTATCGTAATCGTAATCGTAATTTACAGGTAAAATTAAATCACAAAAGGATATCCTTATCTTTGCTTTTACGTTTATATTTTTTTTTTTATTATAAATTTCGTCTTCGTCGAGTTTAGTTCTTGCGTATTAAATATCGGTATAAAGTATATATAGTCCTACTATCGCATATACTCGCTCGTTATTATTTCTATATATGATTTGTGCGTAATACTATTTTGTATGCGTTTATGTATAAGTAGAATGCTAAAGTAGATTTATAAGGTATATTTTTGGTTTTATATTTAATATTAAATCACACTTAAAGCGACTTCGGCTGTTTCACATAAAGTTTTTATATTAAATAATTTAATTATATGTATTTAAATTAATTTATATTAATACAATCTTTTAATGAGTTGAGTTGTTGAGTTGTTGCTTTCACGATTTTCTATTGCTTTTATTTCGCTATCTCAAATATCTTAAAAATCTCAGAAATCTTAAAAATCTCAAAAATCTCAAAAAAATTTCTAAATTTAAGTATAAAAATTTTGCAAATTGGTGAATTTCAATATGTTTGGTGTTGAGATTTGCCTTTGTGAAGTGATGTTGTGGTGAATTATGTTAAGCATTAAAGAGCAAGGTGACAGCCTCCAAAGCAGCTCACCGAGTCCAACATAACCAGGGGCGTGGAACTTAAACTCTTTTATTTAGCACACGTTTCACGTTTGCTGTTGTGCGGCGAGTGCGGCGTGTGCCTTTTTCGCAGCTGAGGGGTTTTGGTGGTGAATGTGGTGGTGGGTTTTCTTATTATATTACTATAATTAATTTTATTTAACTATTTTATTTGTTGGCTTCTTCTTTCTATTGAAGAATATTACTAATTATATATATTTGTATATATTTAATTGTAAAAAATTTTATGAAAAAGCATGAAGAATACACTTGTTTTGATGATTTGATGTTTTGATGTTTTTCGTTGGTTGTATCAGGGACGTTTGATTTCTTTTACTTTTTATTTTTTATTTTTAGTTTTTAACTTTGTGTTAAAATATCTTTAAGATTTTCTTAAAATTTATTTTTAGTCACAACGTTTAACTTCGTTTGATTTGTGCGTTGCGTTTCAGATTTTTTATCCTTTGATTTTAAACTTCTTAAGTATAAAATTTGTTTATTGCTAGTAAAAATGTAGCAAAACTGATTGATTTTTCGTTCGAATTGCTGTGCTCAAACACTTTTTTAACTAATTTTTCTAATTAGAAAAGAACAAAATTTCAATAGAATTGCTTTATCGAAACTTTTGATGTGAAAAATTTGAAAACGTTTGATTCCGTATCCGTTTTTTGAATATTTTCGAAAGGTCGCCGCGCCCAAAACTATACTTTGCTGTATGCTCAGTGCTTTGCCCGTGTCTTGCTGAAACTTTTTTCAATCTTTTTCTTTCAAACAGAAATTTGAAATTTTTGTGCTTGCAAATGAACGCGTTGCTGCCGACAACAAACGAACACAATCGGAAATTTAAAAGGAACTAAACTGTGCGTCCTGAAATCAAGTCCACCAAGCAACGTTAGCTTTGCGGAACGAACTGAGCGTAGTCTGCATTGAGAGTATCGCTAAGTGAGCTGAGCGAATGCCATGCGTATGCTTTGTTGGGTGTGTAAACCGCTGTAATTACAAGCAATTTAAAGAGGCACAGGGGAGAGAGGAGAGAGGAGAGCACAACTGTCTGAATCTGCAAATGTTTCGTTCCGTTTTGAAAGAGAAGTTTTGCACTCACACATATGTAAGTCAGTCGCTTCAACGGTAGCATGAGGATTTGAGGATATAGTGAAGTAATGTCACAACAATTTTTTACGTAGTGCGGGAAGACGCGTAAGCTTTTGTCTGTATCTGCGATTGACAAAGCCAAAGGCAAAGAGTTTGGTTGTGGTCATCTTTACTTAGCAGAGCAGAAAAACGATATTATATCGATAAAAATACACATGCAAAGTCACTGCGAGTATATCGGCAAAATGTCCAACGCAACCTCAAATTAGGAGCACAAAGCTTTGCTTTTAAAGCGACATGGAGTGACATAGAGAATCAATCACAGTTGTGCTCGGTGTTACACATAGGAAAACAAAAAATAAAAACATTTCACATTCGATATGGATATGAAATAATAAATC